AGAGAGAGAGAGAGAGAGAGAGAGAGAGAGAGAGAGAGAGAGAGAGAGAGAGAAAAACAACTCAATCTCACACTCCAGAAACCCTAAAGCACAAGTCTGCGGATTTGTTCACTAGTCTGGCTTTCCTCCTAACTTCTCAGGGAAAGTGAGCAAATGACATCATCTCTCATGTCTGTCAATTCATCTGGGAAATACATGAACTGTGTTCCTCCAAATTCCTATGTTGAAAACGTCTCAGTGTAGCTGTATCTCGATATAGCGTCTTTAGGAGGTAATTAAGATTAAATGAGGTTGTAAGGGTGGGGCCCGAAGCAGATAGGACTATGGCCTTATCAGAGGAGGAGGACGGCCAAGTGAGTACACGGTGACAGATGGCTGGTCACCTGCGAGCCAGAAGAAGGCTCCCTGGCTTACACTTCCAGCCTTCAGGAAGGTGAGAAAATAAATTTCTGTTGTTTAAGTCATACAGTCTATAATTTTGTTATGGCAGCCTGAGCAGAGTAAGACACCACCCCAACCAAGAACCACTGGCTTACGTGCCACCCAAGTGTTAGGTAATATGCTCTGATAGTGTGGACACGAGAAGAAGAAAGTTCCCACGGAAAGGATGAGGAAAGAGACAGGGGTGATCTGATTTTTTTTTTTTAACATGTTGCAAGTTAAGTAAGAAAGAGAAAAACAACTATAAAAGAGGTTTTCAAAGATCAACAATGAATCAGAATTTTTTCAATACAATTCCACTACTATTTTTTGAGGGTCATTTTTTTTGGGGGGGGGTAGATTCTCTTAATTTGCTTCCCTTTGCAAACGTCTTCCATCAGTCAGTGGAAACCACAGGAAAGTGTATGAAGAAGTTGGCATGCCTGTCTGCCTTTTATTGGAAGCTGCCTTAAGTCTCTTTGAAGAAAGGTAGGGTATTAAACAAAACCCGGCAACAACTTGTCCTTTGAGTGTATCTGACTTACTTCTAGAACTCCCTTGCCATTTAGGATAAAAAGCCACTTGGCCTTTGTTACCATAAAAGTACTTTCTTAAAAAAAAAAAAAAGAGGAAAATGGAGCTCTTCCTGTATACTGAATTTATTCTTCACTAGTCTAATAAACCCTACCTCACAGCAATGATTTTTATCGTTCCCATTTTTTAATGCTTCATACCTGGTCAATGAAGAGATTACAAAACTCTTGCATCAAAACTATAACCCGAGCAGGGGTATTGTAAAACTTGGAGTGACTCCAGATCAGACAGATGGTATGAAATAAGGGTGCAATTAACATGCGGGTCTGTGGGAATTCCGTCTCCTGGAGACACTGAATGTGTCTCCTCAGCGGTTTCAGGTAAAGTTCCACATCTTGGGCTTCAAGGAGAGCTGAGAGGAAAGAGAACCATCGTTAACATCATGCAGTCTCTTGTTTCTAAATTTACTTCACAAGTTCAAGAAAGTCATGTAAAACAACATGGCTATCCTTAAATGTTGCCCTATTTCCTTTTATATTTGTTATCTTACAGTCTACATGTGAGCATCTTGGGAGACTACATGCACTTGCCGCTCAGCCATTCAGCAGAGCACTTAGATGGTCGCAACTAAATTAATTGAAGGCTGGGGGAAAATACCCTTGGAGTCTAAAGAAATCTACTCAGCCCCACAGACAAACTGTACGAAGAAAACATTTCTGTGAGCTGTTGTCACTTTATGGCTTGGATTATGAAATTCATCACTAGAATGTAAACTCCTCCTAGGTTCTTGGTACGAACGCAACTGAATCATTCATTGTCTCATTCCACTTTCCTATGAGGCTATGTAATGATTGGAAGGAGTCTATTATATTAGTAGTAAAGATGACTATTAAAATTAAGTATGATGATGAAAATATTTTGGAACTAGACAGAGGTGATGGTGTGTAACATCATGAATGTGCTAAATTCCACTGAAGTACACACTTCGAAATGGTTAATCTTATGCAAATTTTACCTCAATAAAAAAAAATTAAGCATGGTAAGAAATACTTTTAAAAATTCTATAGAAAAAAATTAAATATTTAACTATTATAAATGACTGCTTAATTGAATCCAAATTTCCTCTTTATTAAAATTCATCTTTTTAATGTACCCCACATGGATCTCCATCAGACTCCATTTTGCTTCTAAGGCTACAAATACTCTTCGTTAACTGAGAACGGGTTTTATTTATGAAGGTAGGGAGTGAAGTAAAGTGAATTCTTATTTTCTGGTGGTGTTATCGCAAAAGACTGGTGTCAAAAAAGCCACAAACAACCCTCTGAACTTTGTCACCAGGAGTCAGGAATGCACCTACCGGTACTATTCTACTTGACATGCAAACAATCAATCTACCCACCTAACAATAAAGCCCTGAGAAGGCTTAGGAATTATTTTCTCCTCCAGATGCACTCATATCCTGAAATTAGCATATTTTTATCAATGTTAATTTCAAAATTAAATAATTGCACCTAAAAGGTAAGTAAGTGTCCTTAAAATATGATAAGCATTTCTGGTGACTTCATAGAGCCTCAAGTACATCTTTGAGAGAAGCCTTCTCCCTCTGACCATGGGTTTTAGCCACTTGCTTTACTGAAAAGTGTTTTTTCTGAATCTCCATGTCTCATGTTTGTAAGGCTCTGAGGACCCCTGGGACTCATTCCTATAGAAGCTTTACCCACAGAAAATGTTCATCTTATACAAACACAGAAAAAACGCCAACAGCCTCTATTTATTGAGGGCATATCTACTCTGTGCCCAGTACCTCACATAGTGTATACGATATCTCTAATCCAGTGGTTCTCAAGCAGGGGAGATTTTACCCTCAGGAAACACTTGGCACTGTGTGGAGACATTTTTGATTGTCACAACTGAAATGGGAGCAGTGCGTAGAGAATAGGGGTGATGCTAAACATCCTACAATGCACAAGATGGTCACTCACAACAAAGAATTATCTGGTCCAAAATGGTGATAATGACAAGATTGAGAAGTACTTCTCTAAATCCACATAACAACTCTGCAAGGAAGGTATTAACATGTCAATTTGGCCAGTGAAAAACCAGGGACTTGGCAAGTTTAAGATGCTAGGTGAGTGGAACTGGGACAGGACTTGGTATCTGACAGACCTCTTAGAGCAAATATTCCCCCTTATCTTAAGTCCTCTTTTCAAACAGAATTCATAGAGAATACCCTAAAGTTATACCAAAAAAAATTCAAAGTGAATTTTAAGTATTTCTTAACCTTCCAAATGTCATAGAAAAAAAAAAAAGACATCTTTAATGTTAGAAACTAGTAAAAAAAAAATTCAAAGTGAATTTTAAGTATTTCTTAACCTTCCAAATGTCATAGAAAAAAAAAAAAAAAGACATCTTTAATGTTAGAAACTAGTAAAAAAAAAAAAGACTATTTGTCCATATTATCTTTAATTTTATCATTTAAAACTTCAGTATCATGCATACCCATATTTGCTTAAACATGCACAAAAAAGCATGAACAGAAATCAAGAAAGTGGGAGAGTTGATATCATTGGGTGGGACTGAAACTAGAAAGGATGGGGAAGAGACTTCTAACTGGATACCTCTTTGTAACTTGGGGTTTTTAACAATATACATGTATTACCTATTCAAAACTCAACGATCACCCCTCCACTCCCTATGTTTAATCTTCACTAAAACTTCCATAATGACTTTGAGTGCTTGTAAGCTAAATAAGTGGTGATATTAAGCACATTCAGAGATTTGAACTGGTGAATAACTAACCATAGCCCAATCTCTGATTAGAAAACTTCTATCCAGGGTATTTTCGTTTACCCTCTACTAAATATCCAAGGCCTTCCCCCTCCAAACACATACTATTAAAACTTCAATCTGGAGCTACTTCAGTAGGTACCTACTATATACCTGATAAATTAAAAATAGGTTAGTGTAGCTGGAGAATAAAGCACAAAAGGTGAGATGAATTTATCAGAAGAGCCAAGTGCAATCATTTCACGAACACGCTCACAGGGAAGGGTGTCTACCCTCAAGGCCGAGCAGTTTGTGGCACTGATGCCAGGCCGAGGAACAAGCGTCTTACCATTTTCCACAGCCATGAAAATGCCCTTCAAAGTGGGAAAATAGCTGCTTTGTTTAGTTTTCAGGATCTGAACCATTTTGAGGACAATAGGAGCCTGAAGCTAGATTAAAGGGAAAATAATACAAATAAATATAAGTTAGATTAACTACTAAATAAGCGCATTCTGTAAGAAAATTTTAAATTATATTCCACTCATGATATGCACAGTATTTAAACACTATGATGTATCTGGTTTTGAGTTCAAAATAACTTTAAAAATATATTTATTTCCTTAAGTGTTTTATTATGCATGTAGAGGGTTTTTTTTTTTTTGATTTTTCAAAAAGTCAATTTACATGTTATTATATTTGTAAACTTTCTCTCTTTCCATATAAAATTTCTTGATCTGTTTCAGAAAATCTCCAAGAGACATGTGAATGAATGTCTTAGTTTTTAGAACATTAAAGTAAGTAAATTATATGGCAAGTACCCAGCAAAGGAACCAAAGTTAATTCTTCCAAAGCTGTGTCTCTCCACTAAGCAAGACCCTACTCCTTCCCAAGTCAGCTAAACCGACCAGATTAATTAAATCTTATGATGTTCAATGTTTTGCTGGGGAACGACTCTTCTTCCAGGGCAGCAAAATGTTTCCAATGATCTCAAATGCTATCAAAATGCTCTCATAAAGGCAAAATTACTTTTAATCAACATTAATTCTAAAAGTGCATACCATCCATACAGTACTCTGGAGTAAGAAAAGAGAAAAGACTATTAAGCCACACAAAGACAGTGTATTCAATCTTTAAATTATTGGAAATCACTGATTGGGAAACCTAAATCTATAATTAACTTTGCCAATTCAATTTACAAACAATTTTTAGGGCTATCTACTTACTTGATCATAAGTGCATGATAGATTCTCTCTCCTCATTGTCCAGAAATCTAGCTCAGCCTGAGGATTCAAGTGAAGACCATTCAGCAAAGTCTGCACGGAATCTTTTTCTACAATTTCTTGGATTTGATGTGACCATTTAATAACCACAGATTCAATTGCATGGAGTATCGTCCTTTCATTTGTCTGCAGGCTACAAATAATGAAGTGAATTAACTTATAAAAATAGGACCTTGAATTTTAATAGTTATTTTATGCATCCATAAACTAGTTTTTTAAATGTAAATTCTTCAAAATCCGTTATTTTTATGGTCTTAATTTGCATTGTGGCATTGTTATTCTATCACTGACATGTCTCTAACCTTAAAAAACATTGTTAAAGCATGATCATATCTTCAAAAACCATTTTACTAAAGGAATATTGTTGTTACCTGCAATAGTAGGAATTGGTAGAAGAGTTCTTCTAGACATTTTGCCCTTAAAAATATGCATTTTATTTTTCATGACTTCTATGTGACGTTCCATATCTTGTGAAGTAAAAGAAGACCAGGATTTGTGGTTGTTCTTATTAGAGAGAATTGGCACTAAAATCTGGAGAAAGAGGAACATTTGAAAAAGTGGTTAAATTAATCTACAGATAATATGTTCCTTCAAAGATTTTCTTGTCATACAAAATCAACAACAAAACCTCTCAATTGTATAAATATTCTCCTGTGATACCAAATCTTCAAAGAGAGGACAGTCAGTGATCCATTTAGACCTAATCGATTAGATAGAAATTCTTTCAAAGTGGAAATATTACACTGTTCATTCCTTTACACATTTATCTAACATTTGTGGAGGCTCCTAGTAACTCAAACACAACATGAACTAAGCAAAATCACGTCAAGTAAGTAAACTGCTTTCTTAATGCAAACTGAGCACACTGGCTATATTAAAGAAAAAAGTATATTAATGAAAAAGTCTTTTCGAATTACATGGAGGCTAGGAGTAAGTTAATCTTCTCAAGCCTTGGGTGGCATTCCCAGTGGATAAAAGTTTGGATAGTCAGAAAGATGTTTATTCAACCACATGGAACTTTTTCAGAACTCCTTCTACCATTAAATTGGGAACATCAATAAAACTGTGTATGTGAAACCTCTTAAGAAGTATTTTTTTATACTCCCAGAGCCTAGCATATGTTATATAATTAATAAGAACACGTTGAGTTAATAAAGTTAGTCTCTTCTTGCTTTTCACTCCTTTCCAATATTTATTCATTTTAAACGTTTTTCATTTTCTGATATAATCTGTCCAGTTTATAAGCATTATGCTATCAAATTTCAATGAGCTAACATGCTCAGAAAATAGTTATCCCAGTTTTTTGAAGTTTATTTTGACAATGCAATCTTCTAGTTAACTAAAAATCTGAACATCCATTTTTGTTTTCAAATGGTGGAAACAAATCTCTCCAAATGGTACTGTTATTACTACATCCTCTTGCTTAGCATCAACAACATGTTGAGCTAGGAATATGGAGATTAATAAGAAATAGTCTCTGCCCTCAATGAGCTCAGCAAGGGCATGAGGTCCCAGAAACTATGATCCTCAGTGTAAGTGCTGACATAATTAGAAGTACGTTCAGGATGAATACAAAACATGGGAGAAATACCTGCGTCTGGGAGGGAACAGTAATAGGGAAGACTTGCTAGAAAAGTTTTTACTTGGTTTGAAACTTTAAGATGAAAGGACAGGGCCAGTAAGGTCAAGAGTTCTGATCCCCATACTAACCAGCCACAAAAAAAAAAAAAAAAAAAAAAAAAAGGACAAAGCAGGTACTAAGGTCTGCATGTTTGTGTTCTCCCAAAATTCATATGCTGAAATCCTAACCCCTAAGTTGACGGTATTAGGAGGTGGGGGCATTGAGAGGTGGTGCCCTCATAAATGGGATTAGTGCCTTTATAGAAGAGGCCCAAGGGAGATCACCCAAATCTACCAGCGCCTTGATCTTGGACTTCCAGCCTCCATAACTATGGGAAATAAATTTGTTTTTGTTTTTAAGCCACCCAGTCTATGGTATTTTATATATATATGTATATATATATACAGCAGCCTGAACAGAGTAAGACAGCAGGCATTCCAGAAAACTGAATACTGATAAACAAAGCCACAGGTGCTCAGGGTGTATGGCCCTCAAGGGAAACTGCCAGTGGCCTGCCCGGAAGGAGAGCCAGTGCCCCTGGGAGGAAAGGCAGCAATCAGGCTGTGAGGGAGGGTGGGGGGTTCACCAAGAGCTTTGGAAACAGGACTGGAGAGTTCAGGCTTCTTAAGCTGAACGTGCATATATACCCACTGGGAAACTGCTCTCTCAGTTAAATCCCTGATACTAACAGCTTTTTCTAAAGCTCAGGCACAAGGAAAATTTGGGTTATTCCGTATTTCTAATTTACTGGGTAGTGACTCAGACTTTCACTCTATTTCCTATTCTCTGATGTGGCCAGCTTCTTTACAACTTAATGCTTGTGTCATGAGCTGTAGATAAAAACTGCTATGAAATTCTGAGCACAGGCTTTCAAAAGCAATTAGTCAATCAAACAGCTAAAGTATCTCCAAGTAGACCTGGGATGTGCGTGTTAATTACAATAAATTTCACCAAGCTATATACAAAGTAATTCAATTAACTTGGGGTTTTGTCTTGTTTTAGTTGAGATTTTTTTGGCTAGTTTTTGTAGTCTGTAAGAAAATCCCAAATTTTTCTCTGTGAATCAAAATAATTTGGACATATTTACTAAGGAGATACACTACTACAGATAAAAGGGCTATTGTGCCTTTGCCGTGGATGTCTTTACTACCTTCTTTCTTTTATCCTTTACAATGGTTCTTCAATCTCCAGAGACAATTACCTGAGAAATACTTTCAAAATACAGGAGCCTGGGCCCCCCCAGACTTCTTAAAAGGAAATGTTCAAGGATGGGGCCCAGATATTGACTGAAAAGAACCATATGAAACTTCTATTTTGTCCTGGTAAACATTCACAATTATTGTTTCTTTCCAGATTTGGGCCATCATAATAAATAAATAACCACATGACATTTTAAATATTTTTGCTAGGTATAATTATATAATACAATATAATTACAAATCATAATGTATGGGGACACACAGTCATGTTGAGGGGCAGAGCAGCAGTTCCACTTTGGACATGCTAGGGTTGAGATGTCTATTACACAGCAAGTGGCCATGTCAGGAAGGCAGGTGGATAGCCAAGCTTGGATTTCAGCAGAGAGATCTAAGCTAGGGGAGGGAAGTTTGGGAGTCCCCAACAAATCACCATAAATCACTCTTGATCAGTGTGTATGTGAGTCAGACTTCAAAGACTACAATAATGAATATAAGTAAGAGAGATCTAAGCTAGGGGAGGGAAGTTTGGGAGTCCCCAACAAATCACCATAAATCACTCCTGATCAGTGTGTATGTGAGTCAGACTTCAAAGACTACAATAATGAATATAAGTAAAGTGTATATAGGTCGTTCAAATGAGAAAAAAATAAATATGAAGTGACAAATGACTCTGCCCCACCTTCCACTCAAACACCTGATATATTCCTTTCTTATTCTATCTCATTTAAGAATGCCACCACTGGAAAACTTCCTTAATGCAATCACTAAGTAACATGATCTCATCTTTACCCATCAGTTGAGTCACCAATTCACCAATCTACTCATTAAGTATTTTTCTTCTTAATGGACAAATCACCCAGAAAGTTAGGAACTGATGAGTTTGGAATACAAGACATAAATCACTGTTACTGATCTATTTACCTCCATAGCACAAGTTTTTGTGCTATGAACTCAATGTGTCCCCCCGCAAAATTCATATGTTGGCACCCTAATCCCAATGTGATATTTGTTGATGGAGTCTTTGGGGTGTAATTAGGTCATGGGGGTGGCTCCCTCAGGATGGCATTAGTGCCCTTAATAGAAGAGTGTACCCCTCTCCCTCCCCGCCACATAAGGATATAATGAGAAGACAGGAAGTGGGCCTTCACCAAAACGTGACCCTGCTGGCACCCCAATCTCAGACTTCCAGCCTCCAGAACTGTGAGAAATACATGTTTATTGTTTAGGCCACCCAGTCTATGGTATTCTGTTTTAGCAGCTTAAACTAAGACAACTTCCAAATGAAGCTGGCCCCGATAAAAACCTTCCTAGGACATTCCTATCACTACAGCCTTCCAATAAACACATGGACTCGGGTCTGGCGATTGGCTTTGCTGGCAATCGTCTGCATGGAAAAGTCACAGGGCTGCTTAGTTTCTAATCAGCCTCTCCTGCCTTATTTCTCTCACTCCCCAGCTATCATTTCCCAATCCAGCTACACAAAATTACTCCAATTCTAAAATTCCACCTGCATGTCCCTACCTCTGCACCCTTGTGTTGCCTTTTCCCTCTGCCCAGAATGTCCTTCCTCCATCTTCTACATCCAGCTGTCTCCTTGTCCTTTAGCACTAAAGGGACCAAATAATTTAGCATACAAAGGTAAAAGCTTGAGAGTAAAAAGGAGCACTAAAGATTATTAACACATATTAAATGATCTGGAACCAGATGAAACCAGAACTGCCCCAGGCAAACCAAGACCTATGATCATCCTCTTCAAGATCCTCCACCTTCCCTGCCACTTCCTAGACATGGGAAGGTGCTGTAAGGCTCCCTCGGCTCCCTGCTAGACCCCATCACAGCCCTGGCCACCGCACCCTGTCACTGCTGGTTTCACTGTGTGCCTCCCTCCCTAGGCCGCCTGCTGGTGGAGGATGGAAACTGCGTGACTAATCTCCTGGCATCCAGTAACTAACTGGCACCAAGTGTGCGAAAAATATTGATGAAATAAATAAATGACAACCATAGGCTCATTAGCCTAAAATTTCCCATGTCCTTTTCACACAAATGCCCAAAAGCTCAAATGGAGATAGCACAGATCATGCACCACACGCTTTTTCTCCAAAGAAATATTTTGAAGCTTCAGTGTTTTGTCTCTAACAAGAATAAGATATCAATTAGCCTTCATTTGACTTTTATTTATTTAACAAATATTTACTAAGCTCCTACTATGTGCCAGGCAATGTTTCCAGTATTTGGCCAAACAAAGATTCAGGGCCAGGACTAGGATAAGACAAGTAAGACCCTGACCTCAGGAACAAAATTTAAGGGAACACCAAAAAACTCAGTGATCAAGATGAATAATATTCCTAAAAAGTTTTAAATCAAAATGAATGCCCAAAATTTCATGATGAACAAATATCGACAATTTTAAATAAAGACAGGATTGGTAGTACTGATTTCTCCTTTTGCCGCAGGCTCCAACATGGCATGGCAGTGTTATTGATCCTACCTTTATTTAAAATGTTGATATTTTTTGGTATTAATTTTTATTTCTAAAAAAACCTTGCATTAAAATATAATTTATCTTGATTACTGAGTTGTTTCCACCCTGTAAGTATGGAAAAATAACCTGCCTCAGCCTGGTCTCTGCCCTGCAAAAGTCCCTTCTCTCCTGGAGGGAAGCCCAGCTGAAGAGAGAAACCTGAACCAAAGGCCTGAAGGGGTTAGCTGGGTGGATTCATGCAAAGAGGAGGAAAGAGGAAGAGCAAAGGCCCTGGGGCAAGTGTGCCTGGGATGTGGAAGGAACAGCAAAGAGGCCCTGAGCTGGCTCTGAGATGAGTTTATAGAGGTAATGGGGAGACCAGGTTGCAGGGCTTCTGGACTAGTGCTTTCATCCTTTAACAAGCATTGGAATTATCTGATGATCCTGTTGGGAAAATAGAATGGTTTGGTCAGGACCTTTGCCTCACGTCTGGTTGGGTGTGGTTCAGCACATCCTTTGTAAGCAAATTTGGGGGGGTAGGTGGGGAGTGTGGAGTTAGTGTGCATGCATGCCAATGTATCTTTTTAGTTTTGTTGCTATTCTTGTGTTCTTCAGAATTTGTGAAGCAGGCTGGCTGGCTACTGCCTCGGGTGGCTGCCACCACAAACAACCATGCTTTCCAACCTATGCCTTCCAAGGACCTGTTTGCCAGTTACCTAGCTCATAGACCTGCATGTAAAGGGTCTGTTGACCCGGCCTGGCATATGGAGGGTTCATGACCCAGTCTGGACAATAGGTTTGAAGGGTCTGTGAGCTCCAGACCTGGCCCTAGCTCAGCAATTGGCCCAACTGGCAGGATTACCAGCAGGTAAAAGAGCCCAACAACTGGCATGGTCATGTAGCTCTACAGATCCTGACTCAGCAGCCTGAGATTCTGTATTTCTTTTTTTTCTTTTTCGTTACCGGGGCTCAGCCAGTGAGCACACCGGCCATTCCTATATAGGATCCGAACCCGCGGTGGGAGCGGCACTGCGCTCCCAGCGCTGCACTCTCCCGAGTGCGCCACGGGGCTGGCCCTGAGATTCTGTATTTCTAACAAGTTTCCAGGAGATGCTGATACTACCAATCCACAGGGAGCAACAAATCCAAGTCTAGGCCACTGTATGTACTTGGGCCCTTGTTCTGGGTGAAATGGGGGCCAAGGCAGGGTCTGCGCAGAGATGCAACATGTTCTGATTTACATTTCAACTAAGATCACTCTTCTGCTGTGTTGGGAATAGGCTGTAGATGGGAGCCACGAGAGAAGCAGGGAGATGAGGGTGGGAGCAGTGGAAAGAAGGAGACTGATTCTGGATATTCCAAAGGTGGAAGCTGCATGATTTCCTAACAGAGTGATAAAAAGATGTGAGATACAGAAGGGAGTTGAGGATAACTCAAGGTTTTCTGGCTTGAGCAACTGGAAGGATGGAGTTCACATCCACTAATCTGGAGATAACTGCAAGTAACACAGGTTGGGGAAGGCCAGAAGTTCAACTTTGGGTGTTAGGTTTAGTACACATCAAGTGGAAATCACATCAGAAAGACACATGGCTCTCTCTCCAAGTCAGGATTCTGAGAAAGAGACCTTGGCTGGAGACAGAACTCTGGGGGTCCCCAGCACATCATCATAAACCACTGTTAGGGGCCGAGCCCGTGGCGCACTCGGGAGACGGCCTGGGAGCGCAGCAGCGCTCCTGCCGCGGGTTTGGATCCTGTATAGGGATGACCGGTGTGCTCACTGGCTGAGCGTGGTGCGGCTGGTCTCAAAAAGTACAAAAAAATAAAAACAAAAATAAACCACTGTTAGACAGTTACATGAGCTGTAGTGGGTACTAAGCAAAGACAACCCTTGGAAAACTTTCAACCTAAAATGTGTATGTCTTTATAGTCTCATTCAGACCAAATGTAAGCCGTGTCCATAAGTAAATCCAAGTAATATCACATACAACAAGTGTGATGTCCTATTTTTATTTTTTCTGCCCAATGCTCATATCCCTCAAGTATGACTAAATGAGATTCTTCCAAACCATTTAATTAAACTCCAAGTTTCTGGATGTTTTAATGCCTTTTTTAGATATACTCATTGAGAGCTCACTCTTTCATTTAAGCCTTTTCCAGAACGCTATGCAGATACTAATACTGAGATAAACTCAGAGAAAGATCAAGGGAATTTGAAAGTCTTGTATCTTCTTTTGCCAAATACAGATGGTAGAGCAAGAATCCCAACAGAGTGTGGTCTTGCTCTTCCAGATCCCAGTTGATGGCAGTCTAGATTCAAATAATTACCAAAAGTCAGATTCAGTTTAATAACAACTTCTTGAGTTTTTTTTAATAGCCAAAGTTGTCTCAAATAATTCCAAACGTCATGGAGATAAATTAAAGATTTGAATATTAAAGACAGCCTAGTACCTCATCTAGGAAAGCAGTTAAATGTCCAAGAAATGATGCAGGTAACTCTCCAAAGAAAACCATTTGTGAGAAATCATTTACTCCAGGGCTTCCAGTAATCTTCTTGGCAATATAAACAAGTTTATGTTTTGCATCTCTTGGAATCTGAAACAAAAGCAAGATAATTAGTTCAAGTTCACCATGTAGTTTCCCAGTTAACAAGCAGGATTTACTGTATCCAACCTGTAGATGGATTGCTAGCCGAAGAAACAAAACCTCGCATCTCGCCTATTTTTACAAACAAGGTCCTTCCAAAGCTCTTTCTTAGTTTGCAAAGTGTATGCAGTTTTCTTTGTTCTTTTATAGAGCTAATTTCACAGTATTACTGGTGTGGAAATACCACCTTTAAAGGCATGTCAATTACACCAGATCATTATATACCATAAAACATCATAACTAAAAATGAGGAACATGTAGAATGTTTCCATCTTAAAAGGTTATTCTTTAAAACAATTTTCTCATTTGGTAATAAGTCAAACAGATAAAGACAAGGCACAGAAGTTAATTTGTATTGCTATCTTCAAAGCAAAGAAGTGTTTAACCAAGATATTTTAACATTTCCACAACGATGGAGTCATTCTTTTAGATATTATAATGATATTTGACTCATATAGTACACATTCTATTGTTCTATCGCTTTGTGTAACTGGCAAATTTTTTTAAAAATGAGTTACAATTAGAGTACCACAACAAAAAATTTCGAAACTCACAATACCCTAAGGGAAGCTTCCTGTTATTCTGTCTTCTCTGCGGTCCTATTTCCCAAATATTACAAAGACCACATCTAGTGATGATAATATCACTTTAGAACATTAAACGGAGGCACTGCAGTACCTAAAGATTTGTTAAAACTTGCTCCAAACTCTTCACACTTGAAAAATGTTAAATACAAATATTGTACTTGTAGGTGATAGTTAACCTTCTAGTGAACAAGGAATCTAAATTCAAAAAGGAAAATAAAGGAAGAAAACATAAGAGAGGGAGAAAGGAAAGAACTGCTCCCCCTAAGTGGTGCTAACACCCTGTGTGCGCAGGTTCCCTGGGCACTCTCTTTCGAGAACTCAGTACTTTCCCCCGGATGAAGTGGGGTTGACAGACGGACTGGATACGTGACAAGTTACATGGGCTCTGGCAAGCATCACATTTTTTAAGGTTATGACTCCAGAGGGACCCAAGAGCGACTGAGACGGGAGTTAGTTGGCACAGAAAACCCACCTAACGCGCAGCGCTAAGGAGAGCGCGGCTGTTGCTGCGTTTCGCCGGTCAGACAGGCTCAGCTGGGGACTCTCGGTCAGATGGAAAAGGCTGACCTTCTAGAAAGCTAACCTCCAGCCGCTTAACTGCAGAGTGGGTGCGCGGCCTTTAGCGTAGGCATTTGAAGCCAAGTACTTAAAGCACCCCCGAGAGCGCCCCGCCTGGGCACCCGCGTTGCTGGGTTGGCGGCGAGGCAGGTCCCCTCGCCCGTCGCTCCTTACTCTTACCTCCCGCGAGGCCGCGAGCCGCCCCGCCGCGGCGACGCCGAAGACCAGGCAGGTGGGGCTGGTGCTCTCCAGAAACTCCCCCAGGACCCGCCGGTTGTCCTCGCTCTCCAAATGCTGGCTCCATCTCTCCTCCGGGAGCCCCAGCAACTGCCCCAGGCGGCCGCCGAGGAAGCGCACCCGCGCGTCTCGGGCGAAAGTCCGCGCTCTTCTGGCCGCCGCCTCCTCCTGGTCCTCCTCCTCCTCCAGCTCCATCGCGCTCGCCGCCTCCAGGCCGGCCCCCGGGGTTAGGCGAAGGGCCGGGGCTGCCATCCGGAAAGTCGAGGGGACGCAGGGCCGACCGGCTCCTCGCGCGCCTCTGCGCAGCCCCGAGGGGGCGAGGACGCACGACCTCAGCGCAGCCGGGGGGCGCCCGACCTCCGCGATCGCTGCGAGCGGTGACCCTTGTCCCCCACCTATGGCGACTTGGCGACCGCGGGACTGCGCGCAGTGCGAGCCCGGCGAACCGAGGCGACGGCCCGGGACAACTAGCGCGTCCCGTTTCCCGGGGGACAGCGTCCCCGCCCCGGCCGGCTGGGGGCGGAGTGAGCCCCGGTGGCACCGCCCAGCAGAGTGCAAGGCAGCGGCCGAGCGGAGCGGAGTCGGTCTTGAACCTGGCTGGGCAGAAGCGCGCCCTGGGCCAGTCTGAGCCACTCAATGGGCTCACTCCACTGGCCTCCGGCTCCTTGGCCCAGGGTCATCTTCGTGGGGTCCCCAGCGCGGGAGAACGACAGCCCAGTATTGGTTAACTGCTCTGGATTAAGCAGTGCTGTTTTGTGCCGACCTCCATGCTAAATCCTTTACCATGATTAGTTCATCCTGGACAGCCCTCTGACTGGTTAGTCTTTATTTTACGGGAAACGGACTGTCACAAAATGGGAAAGTTAACAAGGAGGTGGTGGAAGCTGAGGGCTTTTATTTACCTTGTCCAAGGTTGTCCAAATATCACCAGAAAAGAGCAAACCCTGCAATTCAACTTTCCTAGTTGTGGACATCCAAGATCTAGCTAGGTATTCAAAGTCCTGATTCCCATCCTCAACCTGACACTTACTAGAATGTTAATACGCCAAATAAGAGAATGCATAGTGCTCTTTGTAAACTCCAGTGTTCTGAAAATCTAGAATTATCACTCAATCAAGAGCAAAAGGTCAAGGGAAACGTTTTAGAATAAAAACAGATACTTCACAATAGCGAAAGAGGATTTCAGTTGGTCTACTAATGTGGCATTTGTTGAGACTATTAAGGAAATTCCGACTACTGAAGTAGCCACAATTTAGAGGAAGGGGTGTCCCGAACTGAACTTTTTTGAGTTGTTCCCCTTTGATAATTGTACATGTCAAAAATAAAGACTTCAACCCCCACCGCTCCCATGGGAGCTACTGAAGAAGTGTTGTCCTCAATAATCCATATTAAAACAGCGAACAATAATACCTTGGACTTTCAGAAGGAGAGAACAGAATAGTCATTATTAGAGGGGGGACAGAGAGAAGAGGGTTAGGGAGAAATTGGTTAATGGACACAAAGAAGGAGTATGTTTTGTAATAACCAATATGACAACTATCCTGATTTGATCATCACATATTGTACACAAATTCTGATAGTCAACTCTGTACCCTATAAAATGTATAATCAATTATGTCTCAATTCAAAAATCCATATAACACCTGTCTGCTGACAAATGGATGTTTACAGTAAGATTCAGGCCTTTGACAATTTTTCTTTTCAGGACTTTGTCTCTGATAACTATAAGCTTTTGTAGTTATATGATCAGAATCTTGAATTAACATAAGCTCTTGGAAAGCCTTTATAATGATTTCAAGGCTGTCAAGGCTGCTTTGTAGGGCCCATGATAACATTCAGGGCCCCCAGTTGCTAGTATGGAAGCCTAACAGTGAGTTCTTAAGTCTCTCCTCTCACGCCTGTATTCCAGCTGTGTATACCCCTACCCCAGAGAAACGGGAATTCTGTAAATAATAGTTGGGTTAAATTGGAAGTGAATAACCACTTGCAACTTTAGCAAGAAAAATTTTAAGTAATAGTGCTAAAGTTAAAGAACAATTTTCAAAAAGTTAAATATGTAACTCAAAATATAAAATTAAGATATGTCAAAGATTTATTCAACTTATTAATGAGGAAACTAACAAAATAGTGAAGTTGGTTTCAAGGAGAATAAGAGACAGATTTATAGGTATTGGTTAAACGTAGTGGGAATAAGATTGCTAAGTTAGATAAATAAAATATTCATTAATGTCTACAGGGTAGTATAATTTTTGTTTTTTTGTTTTGTTTTTCAGAATAATTCATTTTTCAGAAATAATTTATATATGTAATTAACAAAAATCTATAAAAATACAACTTCACAGAGTTTAGGTCTTTAATCAATAGTAAATAATGAGTCCAAAAAAGGTACACTTCCCTTGATAGTTAAATAATCCTTTGGTGGGCCAGTTAAACAACATTCCAGTATGACATTGAAAGGACATGCTGCTTTTCCATTACCTTACTCCCAAGTTTTGAATGATTTTTCTCAATAATAATATCTAACATATATCAAGTACCAACCATGTGCTGTGTACTGTGCTGAGTTCATTTATTTGCTTTATTGAGCACCTACTAAGTGCCAAGCACTGTTCTAGTTACTGAGAATACAATGGAAAACAAAGTAGACTAAGTTTCTACCCTCATATTGTTGGCATTAGTATAAGCTAGACTTATACTGGCTACACTGGAGCTATACCAACTGGGTTTGCATTCCACTTCTATCAGGTACCAGGCATGTGACCTTGACAAGCTACTTACCTTCTAGGTGCCTCAGTTTCTTCAACTGAAATATGAAAAATAAAATGGTAGATGATTTTTCAACAAATATTCCCTCCTCCTCATGTTCATGGAAGAGTATATTTTTCCTTTCCACTGTAGTTTTGCTTGGCCATGTGACTTGCTTTGGTCAATGGGAAATTAGCAGACATAACACAAAACAGAGGCTTGAAATGTCCTTGCATGCATCCCACTTGCATCCACCACTGTCATGAGAAGACCAGCCCCAGCTAGCTACCTCATGCAAAGAACCAAGCTGGACTCAACCTGTAGCTCAGAGGCAAGCCCAGCTAAGCCTAGTCCTGGTCAACCGACCCTCAGTCAGCCCAGGGGATGCATGCACAAGAATAAATCATCATGGTTTTAAGCTGCCTAGTTGTGTGACGTGTGTTATGCAGCAATAGTATGGCAATTGTAGATGACCTACCACGTCATAGAGTTGTGAGAAATAATTCAGTTTAAATCTATAGAAAGCACAAACCCTTAGGCCAGTGCCTGGCACATTGCAAACATTATAAAGGATTCATTATTAGTTGGGGATGGGGAAACATGAGAAACTAAATAAGCAAAGATATAGTATGTTAATTTTGTCAGATGATGATAAGTTCTAAGAAGAAAAGCAAAGGAGAGTAAAGGTTTGGGTGTGGGGAAGATGTTCATTAGCAACAGTGTTCAAGGAAGGCCATGACGGCGGGAAGAATGTTCCAGGCAGAGGCCAGAGCAAGCAGACCCACAGGAGAGGATGCTTAGTTTCTGGAGAAACAGAAGGCCAGTGAGAGGGGGAATAGTAGGAAATGAAGACAGAGAAGAAGCATGAACACAATCATGTAGAGCTGTGCTAATGTGATTTTCTTAAAACAAGATGATGGGACAGAAACTGCTAACTGTCCCCAATGTCCCCTCAGCCTTTATGACTCTTGATAATAGAACACTCACCCCCATTCCAAGTTTTAATGGGACTCATGGTTATCCAAATTGGAAATTTCACTTCCTAGTTTCCCTTGTAACCGGAAAGTGAACATGAATGAGGTATGTAGTGTGTGTGTCATGTTCTTAGAAGTTGCCAGCTCTGGGCCGGCCCGGTGGCGCACTGCATAGTGCGCCACTTGGGAAGCGCGGCGGCGCTCCCGCCCGAGGGTTCGGATCCCACATACAGACCGGTTCCCGCTCACTGGCTGAGCGAGGCGCGGGAGCAA